AGTTGTGCTCCAGCCCCGCTGGCCTCCAGGTTGCGGTGTCTGCGGCCATGGGACCCGTGGGCCCCCTCCGCGTCCCGGCCTCTGCTCTCCCTGATGGGGGTCAGCCTTCCACCGCCCACGACCCCTCTGTGGAACGGCCGTTTTCCTCTTGCTGCGTCCGGCGTGGGCCTTCGCCGTCCTGGTCTCTCCGAAGTCTGACTGTCTCAGGCCGAGCTGTGGCTCCCCGGGCTGATCCTGTGTGGGGTTGGCATCCGTAGAGCCGGTGTGTTCATTTTCACCAAGTCTGGGGAGTCTTCTCTTGCCCCCTTTTCTCTTCTCCTGCCAGGACCTAAGTCCCCCCGCGGGGCTGCCTGCTGCCGTCCCCAGGGCGTCTGAGGACCTTCCGTTTTCTCGCACCGATTTTCTCCCCATGCTTCCCACCAGACGGTGTTTCCAGGCCCATCGGCTCCCGGTTCCCCCGCTGATCTCCTCTCCCATCTGCTCCGGGGCCCCCGGCAAACTCCCGGACCGACTTTCCAGCCCTGTCCTTTCACTCGCGTACTTTTTTTACAGTTTCCATTTCTCTGTTGAAATTTGCTACCCGTTCACTCATTAATATCGCATTTTCCTTTAACTATTTCGACGCTCGGCTAAGACTCTGCGACGAACACGGGTGCCTGGCCGGAGGGCAACACGGTAAACCGGGCGCGGTCTTCTGTGGGGCACGTCAGGGGCAGACGAGGCTCCTTGGACAAGACAGTGACGCCGTGAGGAGAGGGGCCGCAGGAGCGGAGGGAGACCGAGTCTGTGCTGACCGACTCCGAGGAGGAGCCCTGGCTGTGTCCACGGAGCTGAGGGTCCCACAGAGCAGGGGGGCGAGGAGGGACTCGGGGGGCGTCGCTCACTGGGGGTCACCGAGGGTCCGCGCTGACGCACCTCCTGTGAGGTCCTTGCTAAATCCAGTGTGAGCTCCGACTCAGAATCGGTTTCCACACTGGAGAGTTTTGGTTTTTACTGAGCAGAGATCACACTTTGCTGCTTTTTTGCCTAATAAATGTCAGTGGGAAACGCGGTGTTTTAGGCGACATTGAGCAGCCCTATTTTTCAAAGGGCTGCGGGTCCCCGTCCCGAGTTCTGCTCTCAGCAAACACCAGCGATGGCACGTTCACCCCGGACGCGGCTCGTGGGCGTCTGTGGGTGAACGAGGAAGGATGGTTGTGCCAGGAAGCAGCTCGGCCTCATCTCTGGTCACCACCGCCGTCCATTTCCTGGGGCGTCGTCCCTCCTGGCCCTGGGACACTGGGCGGCTCTGAGACAGAACGGGGACAGCACTGCCTCCCTTCAGACCGGGTGAGGGAGATCCTGGCACGCAGTGCCACCTGTCACCCCCTCCCCCTGCCGGCCACAGTGTCACCACAGCCAGCACCACGGGCTGGTCGCTGCACCAGGCCTGCACCCCGGGGAATGCCCCTCCCGGTGCACCCCCGAACTCCTTACGTCTCCCCTCCCCCGGCTGCCCCGTGTCCAACAGGAGGCCTGTTCCTCAGCATCTGGGTCTCTGCCGGCAGGAGTCGGCATCTGTTCACCCAGATGGGCTGTGGTCTCCGGGCCCCCGGCCACACTGCACAGACCGTGGACCCAGCAGCCTGGCCGTGGTCAGTGCCGGTCCTGTGCCCGGTCAGTGAGTGCGGGAGGAATGAGTCCCGCCTCCAGGGACCTCGGGACTTTGAAAACGGCGCAGGTGTCCGCTCGGAAGGTGAGGGCAGGTGTCAGAGGTGGGGCCCGGGGGCCCCCCACCTCCAGGAAGGGCTCAGCGGCCACCGCGTGTGGTGCGTCCCCCAAGTGCGCCTGTCCCTAGAAATCTCCCTCGGTCACATTTTCTTTTCCTTTTTCGAACGTCGTCTGTGGAGCCCCCGCCTGTGACTGGGGCTGCTGGGCACCCTGGCCTGTGGGACTCGTGTTTCGGGGGACGTCACAGGAGGGGCCCGAGGGCTGGGTAGAGGGTGTGCTCCTGCACAGGGCCCCCGGGTTTTTCTCTGCCCCAGGACAGCAGGAGGCAGGGACACAGAAGGGTCCACGCAAGGAGCCGCGTGCCCGTGGGGGGCTGTACAGGGGCGTCACGTTCAGGCCCTGCTGCTGCTGCTGTTCGCAGAGGGAGCGAGCAGGTGAGGGGTGCACCCTGCCGCCCCCGCCCGTGCGCCCCAGGGTGTCTGTGCCCCGCCCCTGCCTGCCCTCGCACTCCGGCTCGGACTTCTTCCCTGACGGCCCTCGCCAATGGCCTCCGCTCAGCCCCCGGTGATTTAGGGGCCCTCACAGCTGTAATGAATGGAAGTGTGAGAACTGAAAGCAGAAAAGTAAGTTTAACGAAAAGTCAGAGGCTCATTCTCTCCCGGGGACTTAGGGCGTCCGGCCGTCGAGCCTGGCCACCTACCTGCTGGCAGAGAGGGGCCTGTCGTGGGAACTAGATGGGTGACTCGGCCAAACCAGTTCCATGAGAACTCACCGTTAATGATGGCGAGTGGGGATCTCGGCCGACGCACCCCACCCTGGAAGGACGGGGCGTGCCCGAAGGGGCGGGCCCGAGACAGGCGGACGCCGGGCCGCCTGCACTGCACGGTGCGGAGTCTGGGTGGGTGTCGCGTCCCGGCACACGCACAGCTGGTCTGGCTGCTGCTGGAAGGGGAGGGAGACTCGGGAAGCTCGGCAGCTGCTGCGGAGCTCGTGGCACCTGCGCCCCGAGTCTGCTCTGCTCCTCCCTGCGACCGAGGGCAGAAGGGGACCCACAGTGGTGGTGGCGAAGGACCCACCGGAACCTGCCGTCGGCAGGGGCCACAGGCACCCGGGCTCCTGGCTCCAATGGGCCCCGTCCCCCGCAGCCCAGTGAACTCCCAGCGAGGCTGCATGTTGATGCTGCCGGCCCGGGAAGCAGCTGTCCGGGGGCAGCCAGGAGCCCACACCTGCGCCCAGGCCTCCTGTGAGGGCACCTGCCGTCCCACCTGCCGGGCTCGGTGAGGCATCACACCTCAGACGGGTCCCGGAACCACTGGCAGTGGGGCCCCCGGAGCTGAACAGGTGTCCGGGCCCCGTCCTGGTGTCAAAGGGCCTGACTCTGGACCGACCCCACTGGGCCGCAGCCCTGTCACTCACGGGCAGAGAGCACCTGCACCCCCACCCCCACCCCCGGATGGGGAGGGGAGGGCTTCCCACTCGATCCATCTCCACAGCCGACCTGTGGCCAAAGCCTGGGACCGTCAGAGAGTGGGGCTCCTCCTCTCCCCTCCACAGGCTCGGCACTAAACAGGTCACCTTCAAGGAACGAGAGCGGTCCCCTGTCCTTCGTAATCCCAGAGGTGGGGCAGGCTCAGGAGCAAGGGCCGCTTTGTGGAGCCCGGTGCGGGAGGGGCCGTCCAGCACCAGATCTGTGTCCAGCCCTCCGAGCGCTGGCTCTGCCCAGAGCGGGACATCCAGGCTGCCAGCAAACACAGCAAAGGGCGGTCCCACAGCGTCTCCGCCTCCCCGTGGCCGCCACCCCCGGGGGCGAGGACAGGGCAGTGTGCAGCGTCCACAGAATGGCTGCTCTAGTGAACGCCACTGCCGTGGGAGACAGTGAGTCGTCGGGCAGGCAAAGGGGACCTGAAACGGAGACTCAGGACATGTGGGCGTGGGGAGGGCCCAGGTGGGTCCTGTGTGGAGATGAGGTCCCGCGCTGGGCCTCCCTCCCTCCCCGCTGCCCCTCCTCTCTCTGGGCCCACTTCCTCCCTCCCCCACCCACCTGCTCCCGTTTCTCGCCTGTGCCCACCCCCCCTTGTCTCTCTGCCTCTCTGTCCGGGCGGCTGCGGCCCCTCCTGCCCCCACGGCTGGGCAGCACCGAGAGGGAGGGAGGGAGGGAGGGTTCCCTAGCCACGCGAGCTCCGAGCTCTGTCCCCGCCGCCGGCCACACCTGCCTGAGCCCCTCTCCCCCGACACCGCGGCCAGCGAACAGAAGTCATGCTTATCAAAGGGTTTTTTCCTTTATTTTCATAATTTAGCTGAATCAACACAAAATCGAATACTGTAAAACAAGAAAAGAAATGGCTGTAACATCTTAAGTCTCCCGGCCTCTGCCCTTGAAGGTGCCTACACCCCCTGTCTGAAGAAGCAGGTGAGGGGGAGGTGGTGGGGGCGCCGACCGGGCGGATGCGCCGCGGCCCCCGGGACCGGAAACCCTCTCCTCTGCCGGTGCCTTCACGCCAAGACACCTGCCAAAGTCTGTGGTGGCTGAAAGGTAAATGAAATGCTCACGGACTCCGGGACGGGTCTTACACAAATGGGTGTCTGTCCTATGTTTAGTCTACAGGTGGCGGGAACAGTTGCTATATAGTCACTCCCCCCCTTTTTAGTAGCAGAGAACTAGCATAACGCTCCTGTTAACTGGACTGGTAGGTAGTATACTTCACCGGAACTCAGGGGAACGAGGGGCCTGGCGGGGGAGCGGGAGACACCACTGTCCCCTCGTTGGGCCTGGCGGCCCTGCCTCCCAGGGGACTGAGGGAAGGCGCTGCCGTTCTGCAGCCCAGGCCCAGGCCGGCGCCCGACCTCCTCCCATGAAGACCGAGGACAATCGGGGCGTCCGAGCAGGGAGGGAGAGGAGGGTGGCACTCTGCCCTCGAGGTCGTGACAGCTACGCAGGAGGTGACCCACCGGCAGAGGTGACACCCAAGCATCGTCCATGCAGTGGCCACCAAGACGGAGGCCGGGCGCAGGGACACGAACTCCCTCCGGCGCCCCCCACGTGTGGGCAATGGCGCGGCTCCGGCCCTCCGCTCGCTGCCCACCTCGGCCTGCCCGCCGCGCCCGGCGCCCAGGTCTTGGGCCGCTCCCCCCGTGCCCACCGCGAGGCCCCCAGGGACACGTGGCCTCTGCCAGGGCAACCGCGTGGCCTGTTAAATAGGATTCTCTACAAATATACAACATATAAAAACTGTTAAATATATAACTTTAGGCTTTGCAAAATACATTTAATGATCTCTTTCAAACCAGTGTTACTTCAGGTTCCTTTAATTGGCTTTCGGGAGCTAAATGGTGTATCGATGAGACAGCAGTCGCGGGACACCGACCCAACATGCGCGTGGCGAGCACCGGATTATCCCACCATCGGAAATGGAGCGTGGAGGCGTGGCTAACTGGTTAAAACGGCGAGTTTAGTTCGGTCAGGTCCATCTACGTACAGAGGAGCCCGCAGGCCCGCCGCCGTGTCCCGGGGCGGCAGGCAGGCTCCGCGCGGGGTCATCACCCCGCGTCCCACAGGGCGGCGCCGTCCTCCCGTGGCTCGGCCCCCTGGGCGCACCGCAGTGTCCGTGGGGTGGGGGCCTCTGTCGGGGCCGCCCTCTGGGCCCCGCGGGTGCCACCAGCGTGTCTGTGCCCCGGTGCCCCCCAGTCGGACCGGGGGACTCGGGCGGGGGGCACGTCCAGGTTAAAATAGATTTGCTCTTTGGTCTATCGAGTATATACTGAAAGGGTAAGAAAATAAAAGTGATTCGGACAGTCTGGGGCACGAGGAGAGGCCGCTTCCGCGCCTGCGAGTCAGTCCCCCGGGCCGGCGCCGTCCTGGCCTCTCCCGGCTGCTGCCCCTCCGGCCGCCGCCTCCTCCTGTTCGTCCGCGTCGTCCTCCTCCGTGGGGGGCGCGGCCAATGTCCAGCCAGGGAGGGCAGGCGAGGCTGGGCTCCCGGGGACCCGGGGCGCCCCCCGCATCCCAGGCCGACTCCTTCTGCAGCTGGACGGGCTCAGCGCAGGCAGCCCAGGGCGCGGGCTGTCCGTGTCGGGCTGAGGGGCAACGGAGGGCGGGCGGGGGGCCGAGAGCGGGGAGCATCCGTGGCAGGAGGGCCTCGCCCAGGGTCGGCCTCTCTGGGCAGCTGAGGCCCCTCCCGGGCCCCTCTGGGCTGCGCGTGTCAGGAGACCTGAGGGGCAAACAGAAGAGAGCAGTCAGCCCCCGGACGTGCAGGGTCCTTGTCGGGAGGGTCCCCAGGCCTGGACGGCACAGAGCCCTGGACAGATGCCAGCTGACCTCCTCCAGGACATGGAACTGGATGGAGACTCGCCTCCCTCTGTGCCCTGGGTGGGACCCCCTCGCCCACGATGGCCGGGTGTGGGTGTGGTCCCCTCCACAGGTTCCCCTCATGGGGCCCCCGCTGCCCCCCCACAGCAGGCTCAGAGCGGGGGGAGGTGTGCGTAGTGTCCCTGGAAGGCAGTGGAACTGGGGAGGCAGGCATGTCCCTGGTCCGTGGGGCGCCCTGCATCCCAGAGTCGGGGGACCGCATGGGGCAGCCCACTACCGGCTGCCAGTTCGGAGATGACAGTCCCGTATCACGGCTCTGGGGCAGCAGAAACGTCTCCAGTAGGAGAGGAAGAAAGCCACAGTCCTCCAGAGCTCTGCGCCTGGCACCCTCCCACCTGCGTCCCTGCTGGGCCGCTGGCTCCCGGAGCTGCTGGCCCTCCTGGTCTGGGGGCCACGCGACTGGGTCCACGGAGGCGCCGCCCATCCCTGACCCGGGCCCGGACAAAGGTCCAGGCTCACGTGCCAAAGAGCAGGGCTGGTGCCAGTCCGGAGCCCCCACACCCAGTGAGGACCGGCCGAGCCCATGGACTCTGCATCTGTCCCCTGCTGCGGCCCTGGCCAGCAGAGGACAGCGTGACAGGGGCCGACGTGGAAGGTGACCGACCACCCCGACAGCCACACCGGGCCCTGCAGACTCGGGTGGGGCAGGAGGGTTGGGGGTCCCGGGCGGAGCTGTCAGAACCTCAGAATGCACGTTGGGGGGCACGGTGGGGGGCGGCCGGGGTCTGGGCTTTAGGAATTCAGCAGTTTCCCCCCTGCACGTTCCTTCTCCGGCAGCACCTGCTGTCAAAAAAACCGCACCGTCCGGTCTCGGGGCTTCACCGTGGCCCCTGGGCCCGCTGCTCCATCTCCGCTCTGGAGCAGCGGGCGTGTTGGTGGTCCTGGAGCGGCCGGTGTGAGGTGCAGCCCCTGCGACGGGTGGCCTGGCCCCCCTGCGAGAGGCCCTCCTGTGAGCCTGTCTGTGGGGCAGACCCAGCTCCCGGCTCAGGTCCTACTGCGCATCTCGGTGAGTGTGGGGTGGCCCGGCAGGGCCCCTGGGAGCCGACAGGGCTGCGAACGGTCCGTCTGCCCAGGGCGGGGCCCGGGCCTGGGGAGGGGCAGCCTGTGGAGCTGCCCACTGCAGACGCGCACTTCCCCCCGCCCCGTGTCCACGACAGCGACATCCAGGGCGGGTCCTGGCTCCCCTCCAACCACAGAAAGCCCCTCCCCACACCGGCCTGGAACCCCGGGCTCATGGCCAAGTCCCTGCTCAGTCTCAGGGTTTCAAGGGACGGCTTCCTAGCGGGTCTCCCGCGTGACGACCACCCTCCCCTTCGCAGAGGGCCCTTCCACAGCCCCTCTGCTCCAGAAGGAAACCCCCCACTCGGCACCCAGCGGGTGGGTGGGGGCCCTCCAGCTGGGCTCCATCTACTCCGCAGGTGGGTCCAGGTGGCCGGTCCCCGGGCTCGGTCTCATGCCGCTCGCCCAGGACGAGGGCAGGAGCAGCCCCCGGCCCCTCAGGGTTCATGCTCAGAGCAGCTCAGCCCTGCCCCTGACCTTGGTGGGGGCCTGGCAGGGACCCAGAGTGTCTTCATGCCTCTCAGCTGCCACAGCCCACAGGGAAGCCACCAGCTCGGCCCCACCCGCCAGGCCCCCTCCAGCTCTGCGGCAGGGCTGGCTGCCACCTCCCCAGAGCCTCGCTCGTTCCTGGAACCGCCAGCTGTCTGGGCAGCGGGAGTCGCCAGGTGCAGCACGGGCCCTGCGGCCTCTCGGCCATGTCCTCTTTGTCCCTTGGCTCGGCTCCCCTGGCAGCCTGGCCTTTGCGGTCGTGCCCCGGCCTGCACCGATTGCCGCAGCTCCCCCAGCAGCCCCAGGGGACCACGGCCGTGGCCACTGTGGCTCGAGGCGGACTCCTGTCCCCAGGCCCAGGCGACGAGATCAGGGGACATGGAGGTGCCAGAGCCCAGGGGAGGCGGCGTCAGAACCTCTGGTGGACCCCACGCCGTCAGCAGCAGTGGGGACGGGCGAGGGGCACCTGAGGCTCAAGGTCAAAGCCCCTTCCCAGGCCCACTTCCTATGTCCACTTCAAGGGCAACAGCCACATGGGGACGGGAAGGTCATCCCTGCCCGGCTGGGTCAGCCAGTCACCCAGAGACCAGAGGGAGCTTGCTGGCCACGGGCCTCTGGCTCAGGGCTCCGTCCGTCTGTCCCCAGCAGTGTCCCTGAGACGTGGCTCACACACCACACAACTCATCCTGTAAAGGGTCAGTCCAGGAACATGCGGTCTGTTCACAGCTGTGGGACCATTGTCACAACCGGAGCCCTGTCACCCCCAAACGAGGCCTCACACCCGTCCTCAGCCTGACCGGTCCCTGCCCCCAGCTGCGGTGCACTCACCTCCCTGGATGTTTCCTAGCAACGGGACCGCACAGGAGCCGGGGCTTGCAGCTCTCCAGGCCCCTCCCCGCAGCACGCGTCTGCTCGTCATCCCTTTTCCTGGCTGCATAACATTCCCTGGACTGGCTGCCCGTGCACCAGCAGGCGGACACGGGCGGCTGGCTGCCCTCCGGGGCTCCCAGAACATGTGCGTGGGAGTGTCTGCGTGGACACAGCTCTCAGTGGCTCCACCAAGGACGCCCCCAGGAGTGGGAACGCTGGGTCACAGGTGACTCTGGGCTCAACTTGCTATGCAACTGCGGCTGTTCCCTGCTGTGGGGGGGGGGGGGAAGGGACGCAGGCACATTCTCTAGCTCTCCCAACGGACGTCGCCGGCTGAGCACTTTCCACGAAGGTCGGCGAAGGCAAGTTCTTACCAGCAGCCTCGGGAGGCAGTTAAAGCCGCCGCCGAGCCAGACGACTGGCTGTGTTTCAGCCCCTGACCCCTGGCAGGGACTCTCGCCACGCTCTTTGTGGCTGTCCCCATATCGAGTTTTAGGAACTCTCGGCCCCTGCTCTGCCAGGCGCCCGCCTGTAGTGACGCCGACCTGGGTGAGCAGCGGGACGCCGCCTGCCCCGTCCACTGCGTCCGCCTGCCCCAGGCGGAAGTGGGAGCTTACCACGGGCTCTCGGGGTACCTCGTGTCCTGCCCTGCTGTTCGCGGGGCTCTGTCCTCTCCCATCTGCTCACTTCGATTTTACGTAAAACCACTGGACGCGCCCGCACACCTGCCTGGGAGTAGGAAGGCCGCCCGCCAGCTTTGGTCCGCGGCGTCTGGGTGGAGCTCCACGGGCGGGCGGCGGGTGTCTGCACGGCCTGCAGCCGCGGTGGGTGGACTCTGCTTGTCCACGTGGGGCTGGCAGACGTGTGCCGGGAAGGGCCACGCCATGTGCACTGGCGCCTTTGCGGGCCATGATGTCCCCCCTGCCAGGACTCCGCTCTGTCACAGCTGTGTGGACCCGTCCCTAACAGCAGATATGTGAACGAGCAAGGCTGCCTGCCAATAAAACTTTATTGACACCGACGGGTAGGGGCAGATTTGCCGGCCCCCGGTCGGGGCTGCAGCTTGTCCCAGCTGTGGAACTTGAAGCTGAATGCGAGTGCAGTCCCCTCCGGGCCCCTGATCGGTCCCACTCCGCAAACTGTGCTATCGCCTCCCTGGACACCTGGGCCGGCTCTCTGGGGAGCGGCACCTGCGTAGCTCATCTGTGAGTGGTAACGGTCGTACTTCCTCAACCCACATTCACGCCGTGGCCTCTGCCAGAGTCCCCAAATGTGGGTGGTCATGGGGACAGCCGCAGGCCCGCGGGCACCAGGGTGCAGTGGGTGGGCCGGGCCTCAGTGCCCGGTGGGCTCAGGTCTTGGGGGGACGCCGGGCTCCTGGGGTCTGCTGGGGGCGCCGCTCCCGCTCGGTGACATTTCCTGGGAGTGAGTCTGGTGTCCGCCTGAGACTTCTCCTGGGTTGGGACACACTTTTTCTTTCCCTCCTGAGAGGGCCCGTCCTCCTGCTGATTATGAAACATCGACATGCGCTTTCCTCTCACATCCCCCCGCCACAGGCCGGCGGTTTTGCTCTTCCAAGGGCAGCAGGGTGCCTGCCATGGGCTGTGGCTTTACGCAGACACAGGTGACCGGAGTCCCCACCACCTCTGCCACGGGGGAGGGCACATTCCAGGGGGTGGGGTCCCCAGATGCACCAGCAAACCCCCAAACTGCCAGGCGCGTGCCCGGTGACGTGTGCCCGGCCCACGGCACAGACTCACGGTCTCTGCCGAGCGAGGCGAGTTCACCATGAACTTGTCTGTCTTTCGGGACCTTCTGGCCTCCGGGCTTCACTCACCCCTAAAGAGAATGGGTGGATTTTCCAGTATTTTGGGAAAAAATACCTACAGTCAACATTTCCAAGCACTGGAAATCCTACTGGAGAATGGTGACGGTTTCCTACTTTCTTAGTCACTTTTGCTAATTTCCTCCTGGAAATCACCCATTTAACCAGGCTGTCCAGACCCAGCGATGGAGGCACACTGTGCGCACGCCCTTGAACTGCTCGGACCCCAGCCCACGCGGGGCTGTCCTGTCTTCTTCCCCTGGGGCTCCTTTCCTAACTTAGAAGCGCGACTGCCCAGCAGAGGGGAGAACGGACGCGTTTTCAGTTTTTCCACAGGTGCGCGGCCGACCCCACGGCCTCTCCTCAGCGCCCACGGCTGTCTCCGTCCCGTGCGTCCCGGTTCCGTCTGCCTTTTGCAGAGCAGGCTTTTCCACCGCCTCGCGGGTCCTTCCCACCCCCTCTGAGGGCGTCTGCCGAGGTGGGCGCAGCGGCAGGTGCATCTCTCAGGGACCCCCCACCTGCCTGGCGCACCCCTCACATCCTTCCCGATTTGCTCTCACCCGGGTCGGCTGTGGGTGCCCTTACAGGGCTGCGCATAT